AAAAAAAAAAAAAGAAAAAAAGAAAACCATGTGCATTTAATAAATAGAAGCTTTATTATCAAAAACATTAATTTGCTCATTACAAATGACTCTGGTTCATAAAAACACGGAAATCTTGGAACTCAGTGCTCAGAAGCACCAGGTAAGTGACCTGTTGAAACTGATGTGAAGTGCACTAAAACATCATCTAGTCCTGGACATGTAACCTAGGTGTTTTAAGAAACAGCTCAACACAATGTCCAAACATCAATATCGCACTTTGCATCGCTATTTCTGCAGAAATATGTTTCCTCAAAAATGTAGGAGTCCTTACTTGATTCTCCTATAGAAACTGATTCTTGTGAATCCTTGAGAAGGGGTGCATTGTCCTTTGTTTACAATCTTTTGTTATTATTTATTGAAAATCACCACAGCAGTATCTGATTTGGAATAGTTTTATGCCAGATAGTATGGCAATTCTCCAGCTGGAATTGAACCAGCAACTTTTTGTATGCTTGGCAAATGAAAACTTTTCTGGTTTTGGGTATCTTTAAACTTAATTATATTTTGTAATGATCAATGCTCTACCATGTACATATCTGTTTTTAAAGGTTCTGTGTGTTTAGATTAAGTAGTTTCTGAAGTGTCTCTTTCCGTATCTAATACACACCATCCTGAACACACAGACTTGACTAGCTGTCTAAAAGTTACTGTGCTCACAAGAGCAGTGCATTTATTTAGATCTGTTGTAAATACATTGTTAGTCTTTTTAACTAAAAATTGTTACAGTTAGATTTACCTGTCTGCTGATACATTTTAGTTGCATTTTACTAAGAATAGCATTGCCAAGTGAATGTTATATATTTTTTGATTGTGGTTCATGATCTTACCTGCAGATGCAGTGTGACAAAGGAGGAACAGGATCACTAGCTTCACCACCATGTTCAGCGTGTTAGAGTTAAACTGAAGAATTAACAAGAGTCATTTGGTTTTACAGGCTTGTTCAGTTTGAAGGGATTTCCTGGTTCAGGTTGCGTCTTCAGGTATGTTCAACTTCAACTGAAACCAAACACAACCTTAACTCTTACCCTACACTTGTCATGATAGGCTGTGTGGCAGGCAGGCAGGAAAAAGCACAGAAAACGCAGGACTGGAACTCAAAACGCAGCTTTTATTGCTGGCAAAACCTCCTCATAAAATAAAACTCACAAAAATCAAAACTCAGAACAGAGGCACTGGACCATGACAAACACACAGCATGTAGAGGTTACAACACAACAAAAGCAAACACAGGGCTTAAATACACAGTGGAGTAATAAGGGAATGGAAAACAGTAGGGAGACACAGCTGGGAGAAATTAGGGCTAAGGAGACAGGGGGAAGTAAAACTGAATATAATGACATAGGACTGGGACTATCAAAATAAAACGGGAAACATGAAACAAATCAGAAAGATGCAAATTTGACACTGAACTCAATGTAGAATAATAATCAAAAAAGCACAATTTAAAGAACCAGAGCATCAATTCTAATACAGAAAAAACACCAAAATATAAGAAACAGAAAATGCTGGGTCAAAATGACCCAGAACGGGTCATGCTATTTAAATTGGACTGCCAGCATCTTCTTTTGTTTTATTAAAGAGGGTTAAAACTTTTTTTGTACCTGTTCCTGCCTGTATGCACATGTGTGCACGCGTGTGTGTGTGTGTGTGAAACAGGTGGGAAAAGAAATTTGTTAATTTTCTGCTGTCCCGCAGCAGATTGAACACCTCCTCTGTATAAAGAAATCATTTGACGAAAATGAACTTGATTCATTGAAATACAGAGTTTTACTAATCTATCGTTCACTAGCCGAGTAGAGTTCAGCAATGTTATGAACCCGCCTGTGTCAAAATGCTGGTGGTGGCACAGATGAAGCAGGTGGGCACTTGGAACATGACGTGGAGATGGGGAAGATGCATGCTGCACTAATGTGAATCTGAAAGGCAGAATGACAGAAGAGCACAATGAACAGCGGCTGGTTGGAGGTGGACGGATTAGCAAAGTGGTGTGTGGCAAACCACCTCTCCATGAATATCAACAAAACAAAGGAGATGGTGATTGATTTTAGGAGACAGAGAGGCGAGAAAACTCACACCCCAATTCAGATCAATGGAAACCCTGTGGAGAAAGTCTCTAATTTTAAATACCTCGGTGTTTATATCAAC